ATCCTGATTTGTCTAAAATCCCTGTATGTTACCAAGATCTGAGAGAAGTTTAAAACAAGACCAAGGCTCTGTCATTACCTCCACATCGCCCTTTTGATTGTGCTATCGATCTGCTACCCGGCGCACCCATTCCTAAGGGACGCCTTTATTCCACATATAAACGTGTGCCTCAGAAATACTTATTTACATTAATCGATGACCAAACCGTTTGAGACCCACTGAGATAACTTAGACTAAAGTGAACTATCTAAACACTGAGAGTCCTTTACTTAACCTGAGCTGAGGTTATCTGAGACTCTCAGTCTGACAGGAGAGAGTTCTCCCTCCACCTTGTTGTTGAAAAATCTCCTTATATCCGTTAGCGTAGCTAGCACGAGATGCTAACCACAACGATCTCCGGTACCGGTGCGCGCTCTCTCGCTAGCTTGCACACACACACACACACACACACACACACACACACACACACACACACACACACACAAATGGCTCGTGCCACACACACACACAGAGCAGAGCTTGAATGAAACACAGAGACCCAGAAGTAGCCTATACTTGTACTGTACTGTAGCATATTATTTTCGAATCAATCCTTTTTCAAATTATAAATTGCACACTTAAAAAAAAAGACATACATTTCTTGGGGGTGCTTAGGGGGTGCTATGGCTATCCTGGGGGGTGCTACAGCCGTCACTGCTAAGATATATGTGTGTATATCTTAGCTTGACAGATGGCACATACTCAAATTTTTACAAGAATCTGATTTTGTGTACGTTTTAAATATTCATTGAAGGAGAGTCTTTCACATTTGAATGTTTATTTATTTAAAACATACATTAGTTGCTATACTGTAGACATGTACATATGTATAATTATATTATTTATTTTTTAAGTGTGGTATAAAGTAAATTTATATAAAGCTATTTGGTTGAGCCAAGTAACCCTGGATGCAAACAGGTTTAGGACAGAGCCTCTGTTTTTAGATGGGGTTTGTGGCCATGATGTAGGCCTGACGTTTAAAATAAATGATAAAATCTTATCTATTAAGATGAATGTTTCATTTAAAAGGTTTTTATTTGTTTAAGGAGGGACCCCAGAGCCAAGGGCAAGCCGAGGAGACCGCCTTTTCCCGCCGCAGGCAGGATCAAACTCTCGGTCCGGCAGCTTTCCCGGTGATGAGCTCCGTGTAACAAATCCCCTAATGTGCGGGGAGCCGCGCCGTGCCCAGGTACCTCCCGTTCTGCCATCTGCACCACGGTGATGCTGCTGTCATCGCGCGCCTCTCCTCCGGTGGTGCCCTCGGCTCCCTCCGCCGCCACACTGCCAATCACACCGTCGGGGGTCGCCAGTCTCATATGAATAACACTGATATCCTCATAAATCCATAACTGAGGCACGAAGTAAAATGGAATATACTAGTTACTGATTTTAATGCCTTCATCGAGCCAATAACTTTTACCAGATTAATACGTGATTTATGGTAGACATTACTTGAAAAACATTTATGATATAATGTTATTTTATGGATATTTCTCACAGTCAGTGGTATACTCATCATCATTCATCCACCTTGTTACATGCAATCTGTGATGTATTCCACTAACCCTTCTGATTTATGGTTCTGTTGATTGGCTGTTGCGTCTGTTGACTCTTTCTCCATGGTAACCATTATTGTTCATTAGCAGACTGGCAGTGTGTGTATTACACTGCTACTAAAGGTATTAACGGCTGATAACAGTACTACAGTATAGAAACAAGTACAGTGGGTCACATATTTATAGTTTTTATATTCCACGGGATGCAAAAATAAGTATTCAAAAAAAATAGTTGAAAATTGACGCTAAAGGGCCCCCACTGCGTTTGATAGTGACGCCAAGGGATCCTGACATAACGTCACTATAGTAGCCTACGAGTTGGGAGTGAGAATGTATTGAATAATGTTTCAACTTTAAGATTTTCCTCATGTGGGACCCCAACCTTAACCTCTTGATGAGCAGATGGGAGATAATGTTAAAATGACAAGTGTGTTGTTATAAGTATGCATGTATATCCTGATCAAACACAACAGACAATTACCTATTAAAGGTGATCTTCAAATGTTTTTCCAACTCTGCTGCAAACTTGTATTTTGAATGAAACATTTTCTTTTGTAGAGTAAAAAGTCAAGTGAATGCATTTGATTGGGTTTGTGGGTTTGACTGCCGGATTAGGAAAATAACTACAAGCTCAGTTTTTCCTGAATCTTAAAATGGTGGAGCATGGTTCAAAGAAGAACCAAATGCATTTTGGAGCAGAATTAAAATAATGGGGTCGATGCATGCATTCATTTCAGTTTTGGAAAAGGCCTTGCAGAAGTCTTTGAGCTATTTTAGTTTATAAGGGAAATTATGCGATTAGTTATAAACATATTTAAGGTGAATTATAATTTAACTTTATTTAAATTCTTAATTGTTAGTGTTCCTCTTTGTTATTTACTTACTTACTGACGCCTTTGTCCAAGGGACAAGGTACATTTGCTTAAAATACGCCAAACCATTGTAAGTGCTGGTGCAAGCTTCAATTGACCTACATATTTTAAAGGCTCTAAGATGTTGTGTGTGTTTTGGGTTTAATGGCCAGGGTGCAGTTGAAACAGGTGTGTTTCAGTCTGCAGAATATGTGTAAACTTTCAGCAGTTTAGTTATTTAATAGTATCCAGTGGGGAGCGTTTTCAGACAGTCAGTCTGGATGGTACATTCCCACACCACCGCAGTCCTTCCACCGTCAGAGGCAAGAGGAAGGAAGTGGTGCGGCTCAAGGATGAGTAAGCCTTCTGTGACTCACGCGCCGCCACTGACCCGTGTGGCAACCTGATAAGCTCACATTATGTCTCAGCGGGCCCTGTGGCATAATACCACGCCAGCATGCCAGCCCAATAGGAGGCCGCCGCATGATGCACGGTGACAGCACAGACCTTTTTTCTAAACCATGGGAAAGAATGTCCATACATGGGCATAGATGGAGAAAAGATGAAAATGTGCCATCCTGCTGAATATGCAAATAAAATGCCAATCTGGGTCAACAAAGTAAATCTTTATACTTTCACGCATGCCACTGCATCTAATGAATATTTCATCAAAGGCATGGATGCTTTTGGCTGAGAACCATCAGTCCTGTTACCAGAGAAGATGAACATTGGGAAAATAAGGAGAAACAAACGGTGGCTCATTCACAAATTGACAAGTCTGATTTTCAACTGCCACAAACAGCGTTAAAAAGTAATGAAGGATCTTTTCTATCACAACAGTGTTTCTAACCATGAAATTATGAATCAGTTATATTTTATATTTTTCGTTGCTAACAGTGAATTACTTTATTGCATATTGTAAGTTAGAGCAAATATAATTACAGCAGCAACTGTGTACTGAGCACAGATGAGCTTTAAAACAAATATATCAAATATAATATTTGCCAACAGAACATTGACCCAAGTGTTGATCAAAGTGGACATCAAAAACACTAGGACTGTTACAAATGCTATGTTAATGGTTGGAAAATGCATGTATGACATGTAGTAATATCTTGTGTCTGTTAAAAGTGCAGAAATCTCTGAGCAGTTTAATCTTCAGTGAGGCAGCATTCTGTAGTTTTGACTTTGGTATCTTCTGGATTGCACTGCAGACACAGCCTCTATCGGCCTGTTGTTCACAGAGAAATGACTTCCCCTTTATATGGCTCTCTGATCACAGCTGTAGGCGTCCCCACCTGCAGGCAGAAAGAAAGGTAAAGTGACCTTTGGGGAAAACTTTATTTCGATCCGGATGCTTCAATTTCAAAGATATATTTGAATTTCAGACCTATTAAAGATGCTTTACACCTAAGCAGCCCCCCTGTTTGCTCAATGTTTCATATCCTGTAGATGCTAACTTTATGAACACAAGTAGCCTACATATAATTAACCCATGCTATTTTTAGAGTGGTTTTTGTGGAGATCTCTGCCTCATTGACTCATTCACTATTGCCTTAAAGGAGAGGTGTCATGGCCATTTCCACTGATCATAATTCCATTGTTGAGGTATACTAAAATAGAAAAATACTGTGCAATTTTCCAAACTCACATTGGTTTCGCATACAGCATCTCTGTAAAGTATGTGTATTCAGCAGTATTCACTTTCTCCACTAAACGGCTCGCTGCAGCTCCCGTACGTGCTTTCGTAAGCAAGTACACGGAAGAATCAAATGGATGATGACATTTCACCAACGAGGCGTTTTGGGGAGGTATTTTCTGTGTTAGAGTTTTACTCGCTACAGGGTGAACTTTTAGGGTTTTGACTCTGCAGACCGTTTACATGCAGAAAAACCTTCATCACACAAGGGGACGGGTAATAACCGGAAAAGCATGACATGTCACCTTTAAAAGTTTGGAGAACTGAAAGTTGAATGGAAAGGATGATGTCACGTTCAATATAATATGACGATACTGCTAGCAAGCAGCTAGCTTAGTTTAGCTGACAAACAACATCACAGCTAGCCTGGCTCTGTTCCAAAGTAAAAAAGAAAGAAAAAACGATATAAAAACATTAACTAGATATAATTTAACACTGATACAATAATTGTTCATACAATTCAACTGTCAATGTTTAGGTTTGTTTGGCATGTTTACACTTGTTCGATAAGTGCTAGATTTGAGCTATTTAATGGATTAATCCATTACTTTAAGTTGGTTAAATATTTTACATTTGTTTTCACCAAATGCAGCTTCCTGTTTAGACTTCTCTGCTGTCTTTCTCACTGCTTTACACAGACTCTTAATTGCAACACAATGTGTTCAAGTTGATTAATTCAATGGTCCAATGATCTAATCCCTGATCTAAAGCAAACATTAACATTTTTATATTGGGTGTGTATCATTTGCAACATTGTCAAGTTATAGGTTTTCGCAGGGTGTTATGTGCCTGATTATTTCCTTGACAGGTGTATACCTGCAAAAAAACGAGGCTTGGTGCTAGGCAGATAGTGAAAAGTGATATTTGAAGTGGTTATTTCACTCAAAACATCTGCCTGCTGCGGCTGTAATTTTGTGAGTTTGCTGGAAAAGCTAAACAATTATCCAAAAGGTGCTAAAATGCCCTGTACAGCCAAGGGGAAATGTAGAGTGAGAGTTCTCTGATGGTTCGTCGTTAAGTTAGCACAGACTTTCACATTTTACTAACTGAAGTGTTGTTTTATCCTTATGAATATTGTGTTACACTTGAGACTTGACTGACCTGGTCCCTTTGCTTGATTCTTTTGTAAACAAACTCAGAGAAGGGTTTCCTGGGGATGAATCTTCCGGTCCCTGGGGACACCTGCAGCTGCCCATCCTCATACACCACCCTGCCTCTGGAGATGGTGAGGACGGCGACGCCGTGGCACTCCATGCCCTCAAAGATGTTGTAGTCTACAGCCTGGTGGTGTGTTTTGGCTGATATCTTTCTACAATCACAAAGATACAAATACATTGTAATGAAACTTATTTTAGAACTTGCATGCTTTCTGAATGCCAGGCTAAAAAGAACAGAAACGTATTGTGTAATGCATTCGGTTATAATCTGAAACTGATTGAATCAGGCCAAGGTACTTATACACAGCATGGAGTTACTGCAGCTCACTTACTTCACAGCAACAAGCCATACAATGTAATATGTATAACTTGGGCTCTTGTGATGCTCTATTTGCTGTAAAGAATGAAGTGGGATGTTGAAGATAGATCAGTTTTGCAAAAGAAAGGTCAGACCCAATCACCCAATAAAATATATAGCAAGGCTGCAAAATATTTTATTGGAAGAAATTATAAAAATGATTTAAATTATTAATCTAAAAGCACTCAATGTGAATGTATATGGCATATTTTAATCAACTACATTTGATATCTCACAAGAAATGTCTAATAGCTATATTTACAAGTTATTTTTGCACATAGAGATTTCTCATAAAAGACATATAATTAGCTTTAGAGATGCATTGTTAGAAAATAAACTGTGACGCAATCTAAATCCAGTAAGGTAGTTCAGAAGGCTCCACCTTGACAAACTAATATCCTGCAATTACAGCCAGGGCTGCCCCAGGCCAACTTGTGGCCCCACGCAAAGGTGTTTCATGAGGCCCACCTTACAGTATGTGTCGCGCGAGCGTTGATGGGGGGGAGGGGGGAGCACGCTCGTGAACTGATAGTTCGCCGGAGCCTCGCAGCGGGGTAACTGCAGAGCACCGAATTGTGGCGCATTTACGCATTAGATGAATTGCGCCACACAAGCGCATAACATGAAGCCCCCTCCGTAAGATGAGGCCCCACGCAGTCTGCGTGATCTGCGTGTAGGGAAAGAAAGAGCCATAAACATAACACTTTCATATTACAAATTTAGAAAATGTGTGTATCTGTGTGCCATCTGGTGCTAGGCAGGTAGCAGCATACAGTCTGATTTAAGAGCTATTCCGCTGTGAACAGCTGCCGGCTGAAAACAAAGCCAAGAGTGTTTTAGAGTGAACTACAACTATAACATTACTATACCCAAAACAAATAGCTGAAAGACACAAAAACACTCTCTTGAGCTGCCAAATTAGTTGATATTTATCTGTCTTTATCACTATGAGCAACCCGTCTTATGAAACATTATTTTTGACTTATAATATCGGCTGAGTTTGAACTTAAAATATACTGTAATAACTCACATCATTTCCAAAACATATGCCATATACATTAACACAGCTGAAATGATAAACAAATAAAATATAATCTCAAAATGTCCTCAAAGACCAAACAACCTGCAGTTTATGTACTTATGACATAATGCAAATGATCTGACCACAATTGCAAAATTACATGTATACTGTATATTTAACATATCCAGAATTATCCATATCTGTATGTATGTAAAAACCTGTAAATGTTCACTACAATTTTTTATTATTGTTTTTATACTTGTGTGAAATGATATCTGTCCTGTGTTTCAACCTTAATGCAGTTGCTGCAAAGACATCTTATATTATCTTATCTGATCTCAGTGAGGTACTGCTTGAGCTTTAATATAACCTTAATTTATAAAGGTACAAAACCTACCTATAGTACTTTCAACACTGCATGCACTTGGTAACAGTAGTACAAGTATGCACCTTCTTATTAGGGTGGTTGAAGGGCTTTAAGGAAAATGTGGAAAAACACTCTAAGAGGGAGAGCCAATTACAGCCCTTCATATTAAAATAATCAAACGCTTTGCACAGCGAAGATTGATGATGTCTAACAAATAAATCATATCTGAGTGAAAAGACTGCATCAGCAGCGAAATAACTGACTCAGCCACTTCAAGATAGCCTGCTTTCCCCCCATTCACATTTCCTGTTGATGTGTAAAGCCAGAAACCTTGCCTAGTGTGCACTGACAAAAACAAGATGTGTCCTCATTATTCCAGCATGCCCAATTACGAGACACAAGGCAATTGAGTGAACTTCCTAGGCGTTTCTGGTTATGCAACTGTGCGTGGCCCGTGGTCCCGGATGTTATGGAGCGACACTTGTGCTGAGGGGCGATTAATTACGTTAAGTTTCACAGATGAATTCACGACTGCAGCAATGAAACATGAGGCGCTCTCATGCTTGAAACGCAGTATAACATCGGCAGACATGCATACGGGTAAACACAGAACACACAAACAAACAGAGGGACAGACAGGGAACATCAGAACTAAAACAAATAGATTTTGAAACACTTTTCCAATGTTACCGGTGAATTAATTGACAGGAAACTAAACAGAATTAAATGTGTTCTTTTCAGTTGCTTCCCTGAGGGGCTCAGTCAGCCCAGATTCTGCAGCAAACAGAGCAGTGCATTCTGGGTTACATAAGACTTAATGTGCTACAATCTACTGGAACGCATACTGTCCTCAGTTCCATATACGGGACTTTGTTAGAATAATAGCAAAAACACAATCACATGATTCATGTTTATATAAAGCCTCATGATATTGTGAGCTGGTTCCTGAAAATAGCCTTAATGCTACTATGAAAATTGGTTTAACTCCCACATGAAATATTCGTCATCTTTAAGATCCTCAACATCACCCATCTGCATCATCCCACTGATGCTGAGCTCCGCTTCCTAAAAATAATGACCTAAAATGGTAACGAATGTAACATTTCTCTTTACTGACTGATGACTCTGATTCATATGTAAATAGTGTTATGCTTTCATTTGCAGCTGAGGATATGTGATGACATGCCCTGCCGTCTGGATAGAGCATGATTAGCTTACGCTACGGCAGGTTACTGTGTTGAGGTGGCACAAGATGAAAGATACATCACTTTGCTTTTAGTGCCTGTGCATAAAGCATGCATGCTATACAGTACCGCTAAACTTTAGAAATGGTGTCATTTTTTTATTTAAACACTTTCAAGTATTCTGCAGCGCCGCTGCAGCAGCGGTGTTTAAAGTATTTAAAGGGGCCATATTATGCTCATTTTCAGCTTCATATTTGTATTTAGTGCCTCTACTGTGACATGTTTTCATCCTTTAATGTTCAAAAAGGTCTTTGTTTTTAGCCTATCACGCTCAATGCGCACGCCTGTAGAAGTGCGAGTGTAACATAGTGATGTCATTGTGAATGCTCTGTTTGCATAGTGATGTAACTCTGTCATTAAGGATGTTAGCCTTTGCAGACCATATACAGGAAAGGGAAAAACCCCAAAAGAGAGATGTGTTCAGAATGTGCATCAGGGCATGTGGAAATGTACACACACAGTGTTTTCTTTTCCTTTTCCATTTGAAAAGCTTACTCCCACACTGCTGATTAACTGGAGTCGGCCCCTCACCTCTTCATCTTAGGGTTCCAAATAACCACGTCAGCATCCGAGTTCTTGGCGATACGGCCTTTCTGCGGGTAGAAGTTGAAGATTTTTGCTGCGTTGCTGCTGGTGACAGCTACAAATCGATTCTCGTCCATTTTGCCGCTGTGCTGATGGAGGAAACGCACACAGGAGCCGCTTTGAGAAAGGGGGCCACAGCATATGACAACAAAATACAGAATTAGCAGGCAAAAGGTTAGTGCTTAACTGCAGCAGCAAACAACTAATTTCTGCCAAAATATCATCTCATTTGTGATTTGTAAGCACTGCGGAGTGTTGTTAATCTTCACAGTGGCCTTGGGGCAGCCGGGCTGAAACACTGTCTTTTGAGAAAATGCAGAGCCTGCTTTCTGCAGCGATCTGCAGCTCTCAGAGTTTATTACCCGGTCTGTTTCTACCGTGGAAAACTCATACTATACATATATTTCACTCCTATTAAAATATAAATAGAGCAATACTGAATACAAATAATTAGTGTCAATATTAAAAGAGTAAGCGTTCTTAACATAAAAATGTATATTCATGGTCCACTAGGAATTCAAAAATGTACAAGACCCCTGCCCACTGTTGTGTCAGCATATCAAGGGCCCCATGGAATGACATACTTTTGAAAACGATACCTCTCGAGCTTCCCTATTTCATGCATAGCAGCTGTTGATGGCACGTCATGGCGCTCACACCTCTGCTGTTTAAGAGGTAAGAGTCAGTGCTGAGTCAGGTCATTATGACATACCACTCCCTTCTCCCAGATGACAGACATCCGGTCCTCCACCCCGTTCACTCCGTTTGGGATCTTGGTGAAGTCGTCCTTGCCCAGAGCCTTCTGGCACACAGAGAAGGTGCAGTTGTCCGTCCCCGTCACAGTGAGATCATCACTAGCATCATTTGAAGGATAAATACAGGTTTGGGTGAATGAAAGAATAGAAACTGAACTTAATGAATACATATACAACACTAAATTGCTCAAACACACAATAATCTTTAGAGGATATCATTGATGGTTACACTTTCAGCTCCACCTACTTGGCCAGCAGGTCCATGAGGTACCCTGGGGTGCTGGGGTCAGGTCTGAGGGGGGGCCCCATGACGAAGCCTGCAGCATGGCCCCAGTCTTTGTGCCAGCAGTGAGTACCGTCAGTGCCCAGTCCAGCTGCGATGGGCTCCCCGAACACCACGCGCCCTGCAGAAAGAAAACACAGTTTATTTATTTTAATGTTTACAACCTGGAAGATATGGCCAAAAAACATATTGAGGGAACTTCGGGTTAGGGTTAGATATCATTGTTTAATGTTTATACATGTAAGCTTCTTTTTTTTAGCATGACAAAAAGAAAACTCGTGAAGACTCTGAATACTTTAACTTTTGGTAATCAGAAAAAAAGAGACAAACACAATAATAAAAATAACATACAAGTATTGAAGGTTCCATTACCACTTTGTCTTAAATGCATTATCAACATACATATAATACACAATATAATGTTATAATCTGTCCTTTGCTGTATCATTCTAAATATAAACACTAATGCACATTCATAAAACTTGAAAAAATGATAATAATGCTGATAAAATGTTGTTGTTGTTGCAAGTTCCATTGTGTTATAACTCTATAACTGTAATAGGTTATAATTATTATAATAATATAATTGTTTTATATTATAATGGACTAAAATACCTGTAGTAATACATTTGAATGTGAAATAAGTTCCTGTACCTTCTAATTTGTTGCTTTAGGTGAGGTAAAAATGTCCTTTACAAAATGTTTGCATAGATTTAATGTAATCTTTTCACTTTACCTCAAGAAAACAATTAACACTTGTGACTAATAATAACATTATAATGCATCAAAAATATTCTATTCATCATAATTAAAACGAGAATAATAATAACACACTATGATCCATCACAGTAACCAGCATACATGAACAATTATGATCTCTTTCATTATGAGGATGTCTATACGCATCATAGTAACACTTGTTATGTTTTTTTAATGAAATATTAAATACATAGAATTGTAACATTAAAAATGATTATGGTTATGGCTGTGTCGGGCCTCCTCTCCACCCTCCTCCACCAGCAGGGGGCAGCAGCCCACACTCACCCTCTCTGCGGGCGTTGGACACCACCTTGGCGGCAGACTTGCTCATCACGTGCACCACGTACAGCGGGCAGTTGACAGCGTGGGCGATGGTGATGGCTCTCTGGGTGGCCTCGGCCTCCACCTCCTCCGGCCGACACAGCTCGTGGCCCTCTGGCCCCGTGATGCCCAGAGACAGCATCTTCTTAGCACCCTGCAGAGGCCCAGCGGGGGGACAACAACAACAAAAAGACAGCATAAAGGTTAGAGGAGAGGGGGGAGAACAACAGCAGTGTGTGTCCACGCAGAGAGGGGACATAATATTGAACATTTTATTTAGTTTTTTTGCATAAAGTGGTGTCCCTTCACACACTTGGTGGAAGTGCAAATTAGGGATAAGACAATAAAGCAATAACTTCAGGGAATATTTCACGTTTTAAATGGTATGTGCTACGAATAGACTAATATATTGTTTGACAAAAAGTTATTCACATTCACCTGTGATTCGGAACAAATCACTGGTGTAGAGAATATCAAAGTCCATTGTATTGAATTTGTTTTTTTTTACAGCTGACCAGGGCATCTAGATGCTTTTCAAGCCATGTAGGCCTAATGAGGGCCCAAAGGACCCCAAATGTAACATGTTGGGTTAGCAAAAAATGCCAATACTCCTTAATACATATCCTAGTGACAGCATTAGTCAGCAAGAGGGCATAGTGTTATACTCAGGAGGACCACTGCATTCAGAGACAGTTTTTTCACACATGGAACAGTCTGCCAACATTTAATAAAGACTATGACACATATTGTTAATTTATAGTTATTTTAAAAACCTAAAATCATGGTAAATAATAGACAACCAAATGTAGGAAAACTTAATCAATAACATTCTTTGTTTTAGGATTTGTTTTATGTTGCTGATCATATTTATTCACATTATTTGATGTGTTCTCATTTGATGTTCCTGTTTGACTGTAATGTGTCTTTCCTGTCATGACACTTATATTGCAGAATTAGCCATGACTTTTAAACTGGCAAATTAACAGAAATATCTTTTAATGAGCACTGTTCCTTTCATTTTAAACTGCATGATCCCCACCACAAGAGACCCCTGTTTCACTTATTTGACCTCTGCTGCCTCCTAGTGGTGAATTGTTGTCATGACATTTATTTTCAAACATGGCCAATTATTGTTGATTAAAAAACTGAATTCTGAGAAATAATTGGCCATTTAGTTTTGTAGAAAGTAGGCCCTGGGGCCAGCACATTTAATTACACTGTATTATTTTTGGATATGACATAATAAACTTAAAATGAAAGGGAAAATGCTAAGGTCTTCAGGTGACTTCAGGTTTTGTGCAGTGGACACGGCTACAGAGCAAAAGCTGCTTTTGGAATTTCACCACATTGCTCTCCATAATTAATGTGTCTAGTCGCATTGCTGACACACACAGTGTCAATGGACCTTGAACCATCTGTAACATGCAGGGAAACACTGATACAACATGTCCTTTATTCACAATTTAAACATTTTAAAATGCAATATTTGCACATCTATAACTATATATTTTTTTATATAAATGTATCTGCCACGTCTACTATTCTATTACACTGCAGGATACTTTATTAGGACATGTCCAGCTTCCTTTATGGTTAAACCATTGTGTCCACATATAGGCTTAGACATTAACCTTATAGAACGTGATGAAAAGCACAGTAGCATGCATGCTAGCCATGTGCGATTAGGACTCTTTCTGTACAGATGCAAGCATTATTGTTCCTCTTTCATACTAAGGAGAATGACACATATTTTTTGTTGTTAAAGGTGGGGTATGTCATTTTGGAGAAACCAGCTCAAGTGCGCTAGAATTTGAAAATACACTACAAAAAAATCTGCCTCTTCCTTACAGAGCCCCTCCTCCAACACACACGAACGCGCACATGACCAATGAGGGCACGAGATAAGTTTGTGCACAGATGGAAGGCTGACAATCAGGGAGGCCATCCAGTTATTTTCGCCGGGCCGGCTCAGATGATTGGTGGTGCTTTTTACAGTGCTACGGCTTCCACAGATGACATTTTTTTAATGTATTTATTGTCAAAGCATTTAAGATATTCATTGCTATCGGGATGTTAAGAGCATTCCTTGGAATATAACAAAAAGTGTTTCTGAAATAAATGACATACCCCACCTTTAAATTCTGGATTTTTGCTTTATCATATTGCTTTAGATTAGAAAGGAAAGAACACGGTCACTGATATTCTTCAGCCGAAAGTCAGGGGTTAAATACTGAAAGCCACATACATTCTAGCACATATGTGTATAAACAAATATTGCAGCTCTTCAGTTTAAGCAACCTCTTCCTCACCATAAGTTTCCACTAATTCACTCTTGATAATAAACTGAGTTTCACTTGATCTTATACTAACCTCTGCGATCAGGTCTCCATTTTCAGCGTGCACCTGAGCTATAGCTCCTATCTCCTTACACTGGGAGAAGGCCGCGTACAGCTCAGAGTCGTCCAGCATGAACACGTCCTTATAGGCCATGAACATCTTAAAGGAGTTCACTCCCTTCTCTTTGGTCACCGTCTGCATCTCTTTTTTCACCTGGAATAAAAAGATTTTGGACAGACAGAGGAATAGCTATGAGGATCCTTGATGCTTATATACAGTACCACTCAGTACGGAAGCCCATTTCTGCCACATTTGATGAAAAAAAGTAACTTAAAGAGAAAAAGAAAATGTTTTCAAATGATGACTTAGTCTATCAAAATGATACATAACTATCTAAAAAAACTGACACAGTAACTCAAAACAATAACAACATTTCTTTATATACTTACTTCATTATTTCAAGGTAAGTAAGTAAATATTTCTTTTAACTAATTTCTTAAGAAAATGTCTCTATGTTGCCAACGTAGGTAATTATTCTAAGATACTTAGTCACTATTTACAGATTTTAAATCACTATTTAGCAATATGTATTTATTATTTCCATAAACTGGTTATTATTAAAGAAAATCTTTCATTATTTGTATATTTTTTGATATTCTAACTAATTATTTCCGTCATTCTTCATTATTTTTGAACTACTTTTTTTTTTTAAAGTTTTCTTATTATAATAACTTACACAATCTTTACATTTTACTGGATTTATTTTGTATTTCTTTGTATTTAACAACAATGATGTGCTCCATCACCTGGTCACTCCACCATGTGACGGCGACATGCAGCGAGTAGTCGCAGCAGACTTTGGGATCAGCAGTCTTCCTCCAGCAGTCATATGCCTCCAGGAGAGACTTTCCCCTTTGGGGGATCACAAAGTCCATGATCATGGTGGTCCCTCCTGCCAGAGCGGCCTGGGGAAACACACATTACCACAGAGGTGAGCTAAACATTAACATATAGCCCTGAGACACACACACACACACACTGTCTGTGTGCAGGGTGATCTGGCAGTGCACTGATACATTTCAAGTCTGGCCTTGCTAGTCTGGCTAGTGTATATTTTAAGGCTCACTTGTATGGCAGCATGTTAATGACAACATAATATACACATATTAATTATGCTACATTTAGATTATATAGCGCTTTTTCCAGGTTAAAGCAATATGTTTGTTTCTTTGTTATAAATATACAATAGATTTCCAAACCTTTCAGATTATGTTTGTGCAGCCTGTTATTCTTTAAATGTGAGATAAATCAAGTTTAAAATATAATTCTGGTAGCAACCTTAACAATAAAACACCAGACTGCACATCAAATGCTAACAATTTAATAAAGATACCAATACTGCAAATGAAGTCTAAGAGAGCAATGGTAAAAGTTGTGTGTGTACCATTAATAGCAAATTGTTACAATGCTAATTCTAAGATATCCAAGTTCATTGTACAATTATTTTTAAAACAATGTTGAAAGTCTGATATTGAAGCATGCTATGGTGGAAAGTACTTATGCACATTAAAGGTGGGGTAGGTCATTTTGGACAAACCAGCTCGAGTGCGCTAGAATTAGAAAATACACAGCCTGAAAAAATCTGCCACTTCCTTACAGAGCCCCTCCTCCAACACACACGAACGCGCACATGACCAATGAGGGCAGGAGATAAGTTTGTGCACAGATGGAAGGCTGACAATCAGGTAGGCCATCCAGTTACTTTAGCCGGGCCGGCTAAAATGATTGGTCGTGCTTTTTACAGCGCTACGGCTTCCACAGATTAATTTGTTTATGTATTTATTGTCAAAGAATTTAATATATTCATTGCTATCGGAATGTTAAGAGCATTCCATGGAATATAACAAAAAGTGTTTCTGAAATAAATTACAAACCCCACCTTTAATTAAGAGTTACTTTATAGTTCAATTATTCAATTCAATAAGATTACCAGGGTTACACATTTGAATTATTATTATACTATTTAAGTATGTGAACATAAAAAAGTATTGAAAGAGCGGATTACCTCAACAAATTGTAATATATATTGTAAACAAATACAGCGTAAATTCCACATGCGTAAAATGCACATTGGTAGTATTGCACAACCGTTTTTATAACTATTTGAACACTTTATTATTATGTAATTTTCAGATTCAGATTAATAATACAAATATTCATAACACATACAATATCATGTCATATTACACTTTATTAATCCCTGGGGATACAAAGGCAACCTCAGTGTTTCCATTTTATGGAGCTGTATACTTCAACTTTATTTTGATAGTCATAGTTGTACTTTTTACACCACTGCATTTAATAACAAACTATAATCAATACTTCAATTATTGTGTATGCTATTATTACAAATTAAACTACCCAATAGCATATAAAGTAATACAATTGGCTCTATTTTGTCAAATGCAACATTAAAGTGATGTTATATTTATACATCTTTATACAGTCATTTTTTGACCGCGCGCATATTTTGATGTGTACTATCAACCAGAGGTGGGAGAAGTACTCAGATCTTATATTTGAGTAAAAGTAGAAGTACCAGAGTGTACGAATACTCTGTAACAAAAAAAAGTCCTGCATTCAAAATGTGACTCAAGTCAAAGTACATTAGTATTGGCATCTAAATATACTTAAAGTAACGACAGTAAAAGTAGTCATTGTGCAGATTGGTCCCTTTTAGAATAATATATATGATATGTTTTATAATGATTGATCATTAAAGTGTTCTCAAAGCTGGTAAAGGTGCAGCTAGTTTGAATGACTTTGTATACTGCAGGGTAGCTTGTGAATTTACTCCAGGTGGAACTCAAGTCTGAATGATCACATCATTCATCCACATCTGTAAAGTAACTAAAGGGATTAAATACATGTAGTGGAGTAAAAGTACATGATTTAACTCTGAACTGTGGTGGAGTAGAAGTACAAAGTAGCAAACATTTGAAATACATTCAAATCAAAATGTTACTTAAGTACAGTACTTGAGTAAATGTAATTGCATAAATATCTGAGCAGCCTTCTTCTACCACTGCTGGTAGTTTGAACTGATATGCATGGATGCATTAATATGAAAGAATAAAAAGAATCCAAGTATTGTCTACAGCAGGGGTCTCAAACTCAAGGCCCGGGGGCCAAATCCGGCCCGTGACTTCATTTTCTGTGGCCCCACAAGAGCTTGCAAAGAATATAATATGTTTATTATACAGTTACATGATGATTTAAAGTGGACCTATCATGCTATATTTGAATTATATATTGTAGGGCCATACCTATATAAAACATGTCTGTGAAGTTTTTTTTCAAAATACCAAACAGATCATGCATTTTAGCCATGCCTCATTTCGCTCTACCAAACAGATCATGCATTTTAGCCATGCCTCATTTCGCTCTATCAGATCCGTTGCAGCCCCGTTTTTAGAGATTTGGGTATGGAGGAAAATAGAGAGGGGTGTGTTTTCTGACACTTGGTGAGTTCCCTGACACACCGGGGACACATATTCATGTATAAAAAACGTACAAAAGTGCATTTTGCATGATAGGTCCCTATTTAATGAAGCACGTTGCCCATAAACTACATGTCCCACAATGCATCTCAAATTAGACTTTTTTCTCAGAATTTGACTCTTTTTTTAAATGTTATTTTTTTTTAAAAACGTCTCTTCCTTATTTTTTAAATGTCACTTCCTTTTTTTGATTTTGACTTTTTTTTCCCAGCTTTTCTTTTGAAATCATTTTGTGACATTCTCACTGAAGAGACTTGCAATTATTTGCCCCAGACTTCTGCTTTCAGACGTAGTTAATTATGAAGTTATTACCCTATCTGATAATAATCCAATGCAGAGGCAATAATGTAATATAATACATTATTTTATATATATATTTATATATAAGTTACAACCGGCCCTTTGAGTGCAGCCATAATGCTGATGGGGCCCGCGATTAAATTGAGTTTGACACCCCTGGTCTACAGTGTCTTAATGTGAAGGCTAGTCTAACTTCTGTTATCATTCTGTGTCTCTTGGTCTAACTTGACGCCTCCGAACCTCCTCTCCTTCTCCGCCTGACTCATTGTGAACCACTCACCTTGGTTCCGATGTAGAAGTCGTCCACAGCCTTGGTGCCCATGAACTCCAGCTCCATGTGGGTGTGGGTGTCGATGCCGCCCGGGATCACCAGCTTCCCAGTGGCATCGATGACTCTCACCCCCCCGGGGATCTGGAGGTTCAGCCCAACTTCCACTATTTTCCCATTCTCTATGTAGACATCGCTGATCACGGAGCAGTCTTCGTTCACGACTTTCCCCCCTTTGATCAAGATCCCGCTGGGCTCTGCCATCCCTTTAAAACCGAGAGACTTTTTTGATTCAAATGTTAAAGTGTGTGCAAACTGAACAGAAGTGCAGCTCTGCCGTGTGTGCAGTGAGTGCTCAGACACTCCAAAGTTCATGTGAGACAGGGATGTCCACAGATCTCCATTCGTGATTACTGGACTCTTGCCAGGTAAACACCACCGTCTGCCAAACACCGCCCTGTTCCATGGGAGTGGGATTGTTTTGAATCCGCCCTCTTGTTAATATTTCACAGACCCTAGTCTGAATCCAGTGATCATTGATGGAGAAAACAAACCGGTTCTGAAGTTAAGTAACCTACCATCCACATGTGTTAAATAAGGCCAGATTGAGCAAATCATTAGCAGTTGTCCTGCACTGACCTCGTGTTAAATCGACAAGGAAAGTGCAGATATATTCACTTCAAGCAAGTTATACCATATTGAGTGCTGGTGAATTAGTTAAAAGGCCTACATTAAAGAACTAAAGACTATTACACACCTGAGCTGATATTCCATTTACGTGTTTATAGACTCTTCTTGCAATATTTCTATTTTAATTGTATTTACTTGCACATCTTAAAACATTCTCTTGCACTCATTTATTTCTATTCTGTTATTTCTTGCACTTTTTTCTTTTTTCAATAATTGAATTGCCAAGATACAATTGAAACCGATGCGTTTTCAGTTTGCATGCGGTAGATAGGCAGAGTTTCTGCTGTCCTGATAACAATGGGGAGCTCATTGGACCATTTAGGAGCCAGGATAGCAAACAGGCGTGTTTTTGAGGGGTGCCTGGGTCCCACTCGCAGTGAGGGAGTAGCAAGCCGATTGGCTGACGCCGAGCAAAGAGCACATGCTGGACTGTATGGTTTAACCAAGGCCTGGATGTAGGAAAGGGCTGATCCACTCACAGCTCTACAGGATGGTACCAGTGTCTTGAAGCGGATTCTGCCAGCCACTGGCAATCAAATTCAATCGCATTTTATTTACTTGGCCCGATAGCAAACACTTGTCTCAGGGGCCTTTAATGTGTGTACAGCACAACTCCTCCTGTCCTAGATCCCTGCAGCGTACAAAGAATCCCCACAATTAATGGAGGAAACATTTTTAGAAACGGATCCCTTTTCCCAGGACAGTGGTGGGTGTCTTGTGTGTGTGATTGTGATTGCCTGTGCAGTGCTTGGATCTCTTTCTGACGTTGGGAATTGATTAATGCCATTCTTTTCACATCAGGAGGCTCCCCAAGGTTGGCCTTCAACAGTGCTTCTTCTGGTTCTGGTTAGGACAGTGGTCCACTCTTCACTGCGTCTGTGAGAGAGGTGCCAACAGAAGAGGTAAATACTGACCCCACGTAACATCACTACATGAGCAGTGTACTGTAGTGTATACTAGGAGGAAGCAGCAACATAATTTATTGAATCAGTGTGTTAGATTTGAATGTAACCAACATATTGAGCCATTGCATGGTTAGCAATTGAGATGAATTCACTTTTTACCTTTAGCCATACTTTATGGGTCCATACTTTTATTCATAGTCTCTTAAATTGTCTTCCAGTGGATAACTTGTTTTCTCTACTGGCTTCCTTAAAGTTATTTCATGCCTTGCAGAGATACCTGAACCTTGAAAAAGACCCCAACCCCCCCCCCCCACAGACTGTTTGGGCTTATTTGTCTCCAGCTATAGTCATAGTTCAGCAAACATGGAAAGAATGGAAATCAAGTTAAATAAACCTTCTATCACTCTTAAGTCCTTTTACAGCTGACATTCTTGCATTAAAACATCACATTATGATATGCTGTTCTATATTTGTAATTATTCTATGGTCTTCTGCTTGGGGAGAATCTTGGTCATCATTCAGAAACCTGTGACCAGTTCAATGCCACAATCTAAACACTGCAGAGGCATGGAAGCTGACTGGTCAAAAAAGTAATTGTATATTTGTGAACTGTTTATATTCACTATTCAAAAAAAAATCCCCAAATTCAGCAGGCTTCTGATAACGCTGTGATATCCCCGGAGCATGCAACTGCCTCTCTTTCATGAAGAGTAGTTAGCCACTGGGAGAGATTAGCATTTTCCTGCAGTGGATTGGTTGTCGGCAGCGCATCAGTCCAGAGAACTTTTCTCATCCATTAGTGTATTACGAAAACAAGACACATTGGAGAGACAAAGATGCGTGCGCTTCCGAGATAAGCACACGCACAAGGCTTAGGAACACCTAACCTTCACAGTTGCAATAAACAATAACATGTGACTTAAGAGGATTTACATAAGATGAGAGGAGTAATCAGAGCGAGTGAAAAACCAATGAGGCAGCAATGGCATCTCCTCAAAAGTCTCTGTGCTGCTGAATGAGGAAAGTTGCCATTCCGCTGGATTTAGAGTAAGGCTGTTGTTATCTTTGTATTTTCTCTACCGGCACTACAAACCGACACAGATGTCAGTTTCTTTCCCGACTGCATTCAAATTCAGTGAGCGCAGCTCCGAGTGTTGACAAGGTAAAACTCTGGCATTAGAAGGGCAAAGCATGCACACAAAGTGACATAAGATAATGCTCAGGCAGATTATCAGCGTGCTGTGCTCAGGCAGAAAGAGGCTTGTTTACTGCGTTTGTGCTAAACTTCACACATCACACTGCAGCTACAGTAAGTGTGTGTTAGAGATACAACACATCTCAAAAGGAGGAAAGATTAGAAATCCCTAGTTTTGTAATTTCTATTGCTGTTTTAATTGTTTGCTTTTGGTAAACCAGAGGAGGGCTTTCTAGGAAATGAAATAATGCTTTGTTTCTCTTTTTTCATCTCTTATCTAATTAGATTTTCTTTAAATCTAATTCAGTCAGACAACTCACGTGTTTCTTAATATGTTTATTAGAAGCAGCATATAGTTTGAGTTTGAGGTCTAGGCTCGGGCCTCATCACTCCACAGATTTACAAAGAACATTGAGTGATGATTAGATAACTATCCTCCGAGCCTACAGGTGGAAGCTGGGGTGGACCTGGGGTGGTGGGGGGGCAGGCAAGCAGCAGGAACATGAACGCAGCAATAGCAAGTGAACACAGCAGTGCAGCAGCAGCATAGCGAGGCAGGAAGACCTGGCAGCTTAAATAGAGCGGCATGTTTAGGAGAATGTGTTTGGTTGGTTGTAAGAGGGACGAGGTGCGTCACGTGTGAATGTATCATTGGTGCTCGAGTTGACTGCCTGAACTAGCTCGCAGGCTTCGCCCCATTCTCGGCAGATTTGCTTGTCTCTTATTTTCTTACTTACTCTAAGAACACATTTCAGGTAGCTGTTACAGTATTTACTTGTTCCATCTGCAACTTCATACTTCTACTCCACTAACATATCAGAGGTAAATACTGTTCATTTAACTCCAAAACATGTTTGCCTTCTTTAGTTACTTTACAAATGACATATTACATATGTCTCCATATAAGGTGATTTTATGTGAATACTTCTCATGAATGGAGTGTTTTTATGTGCAGTATTAGTTCAAATGAGCCTGACCTTAAACATCCACAGCAGTGACATGCAAAATGCAGATCAATGTTGTCCCCCACACCCCCTCCAACACCCCCACCTTAAGCTGTAGTCCAGCATCCACACCTGGCACAGTTCTTTGGGGGTTCGCCATCCCACCAGCCCACAGGGCTAAACATGTGAATGTGATACGGCGGTTTCTGAACAATTAGCAGTAGTTAATGTTTGCATAATAGTATATTTACATACATGTCATTTTGTTGTATTAGTCACAATGCATCAATTTTACTTTATATAGACAGGGACTATTTTATCCTTTTTAATTATTTAAAAAAATTGAGGATAAACACTCTCTTGTCTCAGTGCTCTTGTTGATTGATCAAATCAATGGGGTTCAACAACTAAATATAGGGCAGCAAAAATATTTGTATTGAAAATGTTTTGAGATGTTTCAAGAGAATATTATTTGTTGAACCTTACATTTTTTTGGCTACATCCTTTTTTTCAGCATCTTCACTTTGAAGTGATCCAAAACTATATTTTTGGAATCCAATGGATTGTGTTATTTAAAAAATGGCCATATAGTTTATTAGTTTTCATGAAGTTACTGATATCAAAATAATCCGACCCATCCTGTACTTAGACAGTGTGTTTCTGTGTGCATTAGAATACATACAACCACCTCCATTTGTTTTGCTGCATCACTTTTAATTCATACAGTCTTTCTCCAGTGTTATGTATTACTCACTACACTTACACTAACTGCATATGGCTACCAATTAGACTTGCATCCCATTTGACCTGCCAGTGCATTCATGTAATTATATCTCTATTTTAATGTATTTTGTTCCCTTTTTTTATATCTGTATAGCCTACCCATTTACCATTTAAGAAACATCCTCCTGTATCTTTTAGTAAAGCAGTACATCCTGTCTGAGCCACTGGTTCTGGTTCTGGTCCTGATTCTGATGGTGAATATTCATGCACACAAACGAGTGGCTCAGGATTGCATTACCACTAATTGCAGCCCAGATGGCAGTGTTCTCCTCAGGTTGAAATGGAAATGTGACGTGCAGTTCTGACTGCTGAGGGATTCTATTGCTCAACACAATAACCGGTATGTCATATGTTGGTGCAGAAAAACAAAGCCCATAATGCGACATTGGTGTACTCCTATAGGGTGATACACTACAAACAAAGGTGGGCAAATTAAAATAACTTGTTTGTTTTATCTAAAGTTATTGTAAATGGTTTCAGAGAGAGAATAGATTGTTGTTTTAAATGTTGAAATAGTAGATGCATTGAGTGTCATGTATTGCATTGATTGAATGACATATTTAGTGGTATTTTCCAGCCTTAAATTAGTCAAATAAATATCCATGTAATAAGGCTTCATGCGACACTAAGTGATGTAAGATTTCCTGACACTCTGCCTATACGAGGACACTGGGAAGTCTACTTCAAAACATTTGTCAGTCACATTGTTGCAGCTCAAGCATCACAAGGTAGCTGTTAAGCAGACTCTAAAAATGTTAAGCTTCCAACAATGGGAGGCAGAAAATGTGAAGGGAAACAATTAAATTACGCCTTGCATGAAGTTTGCTTTTCATTTTGTGAGGCAAATTTAGTGCCATGGT